AAGGTAAAAATGTCTTACACGTCATCAAATTGAAACTGTGAGAATTTAGGATGAGTCCATATGTTGAAAAGTTTCATATGATATCAATGACATTTGACGTGTTTATGAGGTCCGTCCAGTTAAAAGTTGGAATTGAAGCTTCAATCGATTCCGATCTCGAAAATTTCAGTAAAAAAGTCGAGCGCACTTGATTCTTGGAGTCACACAAATTATGTTAAGATCGTTGCTGAGAATATTCAACTTATTAAGATTCAAATGTTTGCGTTTCAGTAGAGCCGACGAAGATATTCCTTACCTTGTCTTGGTTTTGCTGGAGTGATAAATTTAAACTTTGTGCGCATCTTACGTGTAGCAAGAATTCAGCTAACAAATCCAGTATAGAAAAATAATCACGATGACTAAGTAGTTTATATCGTAAATGAGAATGGTCTTCTGTTTGTTTCGCCGATCATTTAGAAGCGTTTGTCTTATAATCGATCTGCTGCACATGGAGACTGAAAGTTTTAAGCAGGGCCTTTAGCAGCAATTATGATACAATTATTTGCCTTCCGGTTTTCACACATGGATAACACTAAAGTTTGTCTAAAAGAAGCAACAAATCGGTCGTTGCATGTTTTGTGTTTGGACCAAACACAGCACATAGAAGATCTGTGCCGTTATATACATTCACGAGAGAAGGGTTCCTGTATTTAGTGATGGAAATCGTGATCAGTTCAAGGTTAAAAAAACCAATTGTGACTTGCTGTACGTAGAGACATATGGACATAGCATTCATTTCATTCTTCGCATGAGAATGAAATTCTTGCGTTCTGCCTTCAATGGGAGTTTAATGCTTGAGGTTGGGCACGAGGAAGGAGTTGAGATTTCACATGCTCAGGTTGACTGGTTGCAGCCGGTCGCGGGCCCGTGAAGTACAGTGCTGCATGGTATGACCTGGACTGCTGGTATAGATGGTTTGCAGTTTGAGTCGTGCTCCGTAGACTACGCGCAGGCAACGACGGTATGAAGCAACGACGCTCGCAATCCATCATGAAAGCAAACTCATATGCTTCCAGATCGCAATATTTCATTGTATAGTTGTGAATTAGCAGCTTATCTCAACACTCTTTTACTTCTTCGGTTCCACAGGATCTCCATTCCTGCACTCTCTCCGCCTGCGATGGAAGGGGGATGATGCATTCGCTCTCTGATTGCAGATTGAGGTACCCAATTTGTTCCTCTAGGATTATTATCAGATTGGCATCCGCTGGAAGCTTTTAAGTGCTCGCGCTTGACTGTAGTGTTAGAACCAAGGTGCAGATCGACTCACTCGGTCCTGTTCTGTCCCAAGATAAGGGCATAGTGAAGTCAGGAGCCGAGTGAGCGGCGCACGGAGCAGAGCAGAGCTGGTGGATTTGTTTCTAAAGCTGCCGGGAATCTGAATGACGGTCGAGTCAGTGAAGGACAAGGCCGGTTGTCTAACAGAGCAAGCTGAGAGCGCGATCCAAAGTTTGGGAAACAAGGTCAAGGTCAAGGTCATGGACATGGAATTAGAATAATTATTTGACTGATCCTTGTGAATTCATTCCGTTCACTCAGCCGCCTTAGCTACCACAAAAGATAGAATTCGATGAGGCCTCTTTCGTTGAATAAGACAAGCTGCATGATCAATCGTCCACTTTCTTCGTTATATACCATTGAATTGAAGATACACTTTCAAGTCGGTCGGACAATATCACTGCATCCGATATAAATTTTATCGTAAGGTCCCACCATAAACTTCCTGCTTGTAATCTTTAACTCAGCTAAGTTCTTCACTGATGATCGTCATAAGGAACAACATAGCTCGTAATTATCGTTCTTTGTCTTTCTCGAGGCGCCATCGACTCCAGACTCGGGCATTTGCCGAAACTGCACCGAGCCCGGCCGCGTCCTCTGCAGATCCGGAGGCCTTCTTCGCTACTCGCCCTCTCCGCTTGCTCCTTCTTTGCGCACCGTCCTCGAGAATTGAAGCTCGATCGCTCGAACTTGGCTCGATACTGAAGCATGGAAGCGGATTCGTGAGCGGGCTATGGCTTTTCCGAGCGATGTATGAACCCCCTCGGCTCATACAAATCGTGGAATCGATACAAATTCACGTGGAATTGGATCGATCCCGGCAAAATAAGGTTTTCCGGCGGAAGTGACCGGTACTTCGCAAGAATCGATTTTTTTCGCCATCTAGGATATCTTAAATTGATGCTCCCTCCCTTGTCGTAAAGGGGGAGCTGGCCTGCCAATGAGGTTCACTGCCGCTCGCTGTGTGGCTTTGCACTAACATGGAGTACTCCATCCATGTTTGCTTCTTTTTATTCTCACAAACACGATGACAATCACTGTGTTCGACGTCCATGACTAACTCTCTGATTGATCTCCATGGCGCCCAATTTTGTACGGTGACCATGACGAACTCTCTGATTGGCCCTTGGCACCGATTTTAGACGGTGACCATGACGAACTCTTTCATTGCGCCCTTGGCACCGATTTTAGAAAGTGACAATGACAACCTCTCTGATTGGCACTTGGCACCGATTTTAGACGGTGACCATGACGACCTCTCTAATTAGTCACCTTGGCATCAAGACGACCTATCTAATTGGTACCCTTGGAACCGGAATTTCACTATGACCATGACGATTTTTCTGATTTGTACGCCTTGGTATCGAACTTTGGCGGCGTCCATGGCAGCCTCTCTGACCAATCAGGAGCTTTAGGATGACCATGACGACGTCAGTGTTTGGTCCGCCTCGGTACCGAACTGTGAAAGCGTGGAGCGGGCTTGATTGAGGTGCAGGCATCTTCGTGGATCGCAGGGTGGTACATAAGCTAACCTAGATCCGAGGTGGAGAGAGCACGATGGACACCAGACGCAGAGACGAAGACAACGAGCTGCCGGCCTGCACAGCTCATGTTGTGAGTGAGAGTAGCCATATCTGACATTCTGCTTCAAAGTAGAAATTAAGACTTGACCACTCCTTGAGACGAGAATTGATTAGACTGCTCGTCATCTTCAATCGTCTTGACTCAAGACGATGAGTCATGTTGAAAAGAAGAATCGTTCCGAGTTTCAGTCATCAAGTATCACGTGTCCGCCTGGACGTTCCCCAGGCGGAACGACATGCACTTGTATGTGGGCTCGATGTTTCGACTCCGGACAACTGTACACGTGGCTCGAGGGGAAATGCTTACTACTGGCTGCTTTGAGCGACATACCACGTGTCAGGATGCGAGGTGAACTGGAATATCGGTGGATGTTACTAGTAGATGCCAGAATAGCGTCAAGAGCCGTAGATCTTCAATATCGAGTGCAGCTGACAAAGGTCCTGATCCCTTGCCGCGAAACCCTCCCGTTGGAAACCGCAGATTACGAGTCCCGGAATGTTCTAACCTCACCTCATTTCACAGCAATTCGATAAGTGGGAGGCATGTCTGCAGGGATTGAACACAAGTGCCCAGAGCACCGCAGTCACATCTCTTCGTTTAGATAGATACCTTACAGCGACTGTCTTATGATCCCTTTAGAATGTCTGTAACGGGACGAAGTAAGTCTCACTCACTGAAGGATGTGAGTCTCACAACAAGCGGGTAACATGGGGCTACGTTCCAATGTAAACAAATTTTTAAACCTTAAAAAGTATTCAAAATCTTACAAAAGAAATCTGAGGTTCTGAAGGCTTGTAAAATAGAGCTTAGTGTGTTGCTTATGAAGCTTGGAAAAAACATAGAATATTATTCTCGTTAAGTTTCAAATACAGTTAATCTAGAGTTATTATAGTATTCAATAATAATGATAAAGTTGACAATAACTTCGATGTTCACCCTTTATCTGTTTCTATAGAGTATAGAAATTAATAAATCTTAGAAGATTTTTTCCCTTTTTAGAGTGTTCAAATAAAAGCTTAAATCTGAACAGAGAAAGGGTTATGGAGAAGAATAGACTGAACTAAGTTTGAGAAATTCATGTTTGATATCATGTCCATAAAAGGCGTCAATCTTTCATTCGCCGATGGGTTGGAAATTTAACATCCATATGATCCATAATTGGATTTAGTTTTCACATTCCCCGTCTCGAAACCTCACTTCTTTGCCAATCGGATTTTGACCCTAAGCTTAGCGGGGCCAAAAACTTGGTCCTCTCTTCAATCAAATTTTCGCAATCTATGAAAAGCTCTTTTGCATGCAATATTGATCAGATTCCACCAATACCACGTCGGAAATCTTGAAATTTTGAGGTCGAACCCATGGCTGTTCCAAGTGCAAGGTCAAGACTCCATAATTGAATAGACATTATCATTAGCACATCCACTGCTAACTTGGCGTCACTGTTAGTCAGTTGGAACTCAAAGTAAGGACTTATTTACAAATCATGCAAAGAGATGGTAATGCATCTGTCTCAATATTTTCCTCATTTTGATTTCCTCGATGCATCTGACTTGATCACATCTTCATCTTATCAAAAGAAATTTTCCTCTAGTAAAAATCAACTTTTCAGAATACATGTCCTCGAAATGCATAATTTTAAACCCCAAAGGCTCAGATTGGTGCTGACGTCCAGGCCACGATCGTTAGAAAGGGTTGGAAATGAAGATGGCCATACTCGGTTCTTACACTTGTCTCCGTGCCATTGCCCTACAAACTCACAAAGTCCAGAAACATATCCATCGTCTCTCTCTGTCACCGAAGTGCACGCCTTGTCGCCGTTCTTCCTCACTAGAAAACTTCACGGCTCACTCACTGGCTGGGTTAAAATGTTGGCAACTCCGAAATCATGAATCGTAACTGGAGGGCAGATATCTTACTGGAGTATGGGTGCACTTATTGTCGTCGAGTCCAAACTTGCCAAATGTAGCCAGCTGGTCGAGCCATGCGTGGAGGCCCAGCGAACATCGGCGTTGCATGCCTTTGAGTTTCATAAGGTTTCAGCCTCGACACGTGATTGGACTACACCCGCCAGACAATATATAAACAACCTGCAAAAACATCTAAGCATCAGCACTTCACTCGCCATCTCTCTCGCTACTTGAGCTCCTCATCTCTAGCACTGCACAAAGCACTACCGTAGTCAATCAGGCCTTCCTTGCGTTCTCAGCGCGATTGTGCAGAGCTCGTTGCGCATTCTTCTCTTACAAAATGGCCTCCATGACAGCCGCAACCGCTTCCGCCTTGCAGGTAGGAAGCATCAGCTCAGTGTCCAGGACCACTGTTTGCAAGTCCGCATCCGTCAGTTTGGGATCGTCAGCAAGTCTGAGGGGCCTGAGATTGAGGGCTGCCCCCGCACCACGACTCCGATCGACCCGACCGTTCGCTATCCGCGCCGAGGATGGCTCAGGAATCGTGGACTCTGTCAAGGAAGGAGCCGATCAGGTTGCCAAGAATGTTCAGGCCGGAGCCAATAAAGCTGGCGAAGTTGTCTCAGACGCTGCCTCAAATGTCAAGTCCGGAGCACAGAATGTCGTGGAAACTGTGAAGGACAAGGCTGGAGACTTGACCGGACAGGCCAAGAGCGCCAGCAAGGATCTCGGAAACAAGGCTGAGGACGTCAAGGTACATTCCCGACCATACTTTTATTCTCGTTCCTGTAACAATCCGGCTCTGCTGCAACTGTGTGTCCATGGTGTCCATGAACTAGCGTGATCCATCTCGATTCAAGGCTGAAATGGAGTGGCTGACCGTTTCCATTGGCGATTCCTCGGCGGCTATGAAAGGGAACGAAGGTGTTTTTCTAATCGTGATTGCTGTACACTTGTTTGTGTTTCAGGACAGCGTCAAGGAGGGAACTGACAAAGCTACCAGCAAAGCACAGGACGCTGGAAAGGATCTCCAGGGAAAAGCTGAGGATGCTACGTCGTCGGCCCAGTCGAGCTTTAAGGACGCTTCGAGGCAGGCTGAAGGAGCCGTCAGAGATGTTTCGAAGTCTGCTCAGTCAGGATTAGACGATGCCTCGAGCAAGGCCAAGTCTGGTATCGATGACGCATCCAGGAAGACAGAGAAGGCCGCCAACGACCTGAAGAATTAGAGGGAGAAGCTCAATCTGTCGACAACGCCGCTGTCCTGAAACTTGTGCCATAGCCTACCATCAGATTTTGTATAATGTGTAGAGAATTCCTGATAGAATTGAGGCGACTCACGATCTCCAATATCTCTTCAAGTCTTCGATTTCGATTGCAAGGTCTCCAATATCTTCAGCTCCAGCAGCTTCTGTTTCATCTACTGCGAACGGAGGAGAAGCTGGATATGTAGATACTGGAGCTTTTTCCTAATTAGAGATATATCACAAACTCATGATTCCTCTTTCGCGAGGTAACTTGTGAAATAGGTCCATCATATAACTTAGCACAGCCATCAGCGGATTATTTTCTGCTAGATGTCTTCCTTCCATTCGCCAAGTCTCAAATTCTTTTTGTATATGCTGAGTACTGAGCTTAGTTTGTATCCAGGTTATATATTGTGTACACCGATAGATCTGTTGAATGCATTGAGAACATCATTCCTGTTTTTGGTAAAGAAACAGACAATACTTTCACCAACTCTTCGACTCACAAAGGCTCCCGGTTAAAGCCTTGATTGGTCATTATGACGAAACCTTTGGTTGGAATGTGGATGTGTGTTTTTGCACTGAGCAGACACGTGACAGTTGTAAAAATTGTCGTACTGTCAATTCATTTAGGCTGGCCGGTCCTTGACCATGTCATGTTGCAAAACGTGCAGTTCACCTTGCCCATGGAAGTAAAGTATTTCAAACGAATTTGGGTAAAATTGTATGTGAGCAAAATAATTCAATGTTTCGTTAGAGTACATTAAATCTTTTCTTACTTCTGCAAACCAGGAAGAAAGCGTCGATGCAATATTCAGTGTTCCGACTACCTTCTCGAAGGAGAGTTCATCTACCAGCTGCCTGTCTAAATGACGATTCATGGCTATTTTTCTTCTGTACTCTATCAGAGACGTGATTACTATTGCTACCGTGCAGATTGTAAATACGGTCGGATGTTCGTTCCGTAACTAAAAAGTCCAAATGGTTAGCACAGTTGCCGGCCTCTAATGATTAAATGCAGGTATCTGGAAATTATGATAAACTTTCTATCACTCTTCAGTAACTACATTTCTCGAGAAGTTTCTAACCTATCTACGAAAAAATCAGAAATGTTTCTCGTTACCACAAATAATCGTAAAAAACTTCTAGGACGATGAATGTATAAACTTACATAAACTTATTTTCATTACTGAGAAAAAACAATCGCACATTAAGTCAATGTTACACATGTCATATACTGAATAATCGAGTGTTCATAAACTGAGCGTTTTAATAAACTTGACATACATGATGGAAAGCCTGAAAAGTATTTTTAGGATGTAATCTTCATATTGTCGTGAAGCTGGAAGGTTTAAATCTGCGGGAAGGATACTTCTCTACAGCGCCAAGCACCGAAATTTTTCTACCTAGGTTTACAAACCATGCGTTGTAGAAAGTGGAAGAAGTATAATCAGTGCCTCGTTTGCTGGAGAAAATTGTATACGAGCTGATCGCCTTCAACCGTGAAGCGCGCACACTGTCACAGGTTTACAAAAAGTCTGCAGAAGCGACGATGGATGAAAAATGATCAGCAACCGCGTAGGAAAAGTGTTTGCCTGCACACCAGTACTCTGAAACACTGAGATGTTTATATTTCAAGGTAGAAACAATGCCTCAAGGCTTAGCATGAGTCTGAGATTGATATGGAAAAACAGGTGTTGAAACCGTGCTCACTCTTAGTTCTGCGAGGTCATTCATGAGTGTTAAATCTATCACATAATTTCTTGCGTACAAGTTTTCCGACAGTGTCCGCAAGGTAAAAATCACGTGATCAAATTGAAACTTTGAAAATTTAAGATAATTCCATGTGTTGAAAAGTTCCATATGATATCAAAAACGTTTGACGTGTTTATGAGGTCCGTCCAGTTGAAAGGTGGAAATGAAGATTCTATCGATTCCGATACCAAAAATTTCAGTAGAAAAGTCGAGCACACTTGATTTTCTGAGTCACAAAAACCATGTTAAAGCTTTACTGAGAATATTCTAATTGTTAAATTTGAAATGTTTGCGTTTCAGTTGAGCCCACGAGTAAGGATCAGGGTTTACTTTCAAAATCTTTGTTATACATTTCATTTCCAAAGAGTAATAAACAGCTGCTCCCGTTACAATTGATCGTTTAGTTTGTGACGTAATTGGTCGCACTCATTATCTTCCTCGACGCCTCATTCATTTCAGACTTGGCGTTACCAGAAGCTTCGTCTATTACTGACCGGGCAGACGTTGCTGCGTCCTTGGCCGATCCCTCGGCCTTATTCTGCTTTGCCCGAGTAGTCTTCAAGAAGGTGCTCTTTAATTTGCCTTCATTCTGTCTTCATGCAATCACTTGAAGAGAAAACGAAGAGCTTCTTTCTATATGCCCGATGTTTGGACTCACCGTGCCAAATTGCGTACGCTGCTTCATGGAGGGTAATGTCTCGTCGCCACGAAATTCATCGTCATCCACATATCTACAATGCAATGGAAATAGTCTTTCGTGAACAGATTTCACATTTCAAGAGAAGTCGTTGGTGCTGCTGTAAAGCAATGCATTGGCTAGAGGTTATATCCGATGCAAAAAATATTCAAGTTCCCGTAATTGTTTCCACTTCGTTTCATTTTCAAAATCGCATGAGAATGAAATTATTGCGTTTTGCCTTCCATGGGAGTTGAGATTTCACTTGCTTGCCCGTATCCAGCTCAGGTCGACTGGTTGCAGCCGGTCGCGGGGCCGTGAAGTACAGTGCTTGTAATAACCCACTAAAGGCTAAAACTGCAATATAGTGGTAGAAAGGTCGAACCCACAGGGACAGAGGAACACACAGGGTACAAAGTGTCACGTTTTAACAGACTATTGAGGAGTTTGAATTCTCAGGCAACTGTCACTCCCAGAAATACTGCAAGTGTCCACTCGGAGCGCACTCGGAGGTCGCACAGTGCAGCGTAACACACACACACACACACACACACCTGAAACTACAGAAACACAACCCAGAGATCCGTTAGGACCTCTACTCAAGATTTCAGGGGGGGAAAGTCTCTCGCGAGCACACTCGGCGAAGCTGCGGGTAGTGACTTCCAACTCCGGCTTTTACAACACTTCCACTAGCTTGCTACTAGTGTAGGAAACCCGGTTTGGACTGCCTACTTCGGATCGAAGTCACTCATACGCGGTGAACAACACTCTCAACTCACAAAACGCGCAGAGAACACAGGTCCGCACTGAAGGACTCACTGAGAAACATTCCAGTAACACCACAACAGTCTATTGAAGAGTTTGAATTCTCAGGCACTTGTCATTCCCAGAAATACTACAGGGGTTACCCTCAAGGCACCTGCTGCAGCGTAACCTGAATTTACAACCAAGGCTTACACGAAGTAGCAAAACTTCACTTTGGCATTCAGGGAAAAAATCCCAAGGGAGTACAATCAGAAAGAAACACTCGAAGGTGTAGGGGCGAAACTGTTCAAGTATCTAACTAGTCACTGGCTCTAAGCATCGGCAGTCACCCGCAGGTGCAGATCCGAACTACTCAAGTCTCTAACCAATGGACTAGCTCTAAACATTCGGCCGAAGGCCTTCAGCTACAAAATGCGGAACGCTAAGTTGTAACTCCTCGTGCGTGGTGACAGAACTCAAGGACACAAACACGCAAAGGAAATGGGTTCCTGATCTATACTTCTGATGGGAAAGAACCCCAGGCAAAACGCCTGGAACTATTTTATACCTTCTAAGTCCTACCTAGCACTATACTGCACTACGCTACACGCCTGCACGGAACCACGCTACACTACACTCCGCAGAACCTGTACTACGTCTCCTGCGCGGCCGACTGCCGCGCACTAACTCCCTACCCTGCCAATCTTCCGCTCGACTGCGCAGTCCCAAACGCTGCAACGCCGCGGACACCTCCACTTCGAGGGCGGACATGGTATCCTGCGCCTTCGACAGAAAAGCATCGAGCTTCTTTGCTACCTTCCGCCGACTCCTACTGTCGCCTGACAACAACCCGGCTGCGCGCAATTCAAACTCACGCAGTGTGAGTTTCTCCTGCGCCTTCACTTCCCAGTGGGCGTAGCCCTTGAGACAGTGGGCGACACGCCTCGCCGTCTCCACCTTCGTGCGATCCGCCTCCTTCCTGCGATCCTCTTCAATTATCACTAATTGCGATTCGGCCTCAGCACGTTGCGCTCTCAATTCGCCACACTCTGACTGTAACCTGCGGATTAACTCCTCATCCGCCTACCGTGCGAGCTGACATTGTTCCAACAACCGCGTCTGTCGCACGAGCTCCTCTGACAAAATCCGATTCTGGGCCTGCTCAGAAATAAGTGCTTCCTTGACCTTCACCTGCTCCTTGGTGAGCTCGTCCAGTTTCTCATCCTTCACCTTCTCGGAGTACTTGTAGAATTTCTGATTAAGTTTATACTGACCCCACAAGCATGCATGCTTCTCCTTCAATTCCCTCAACTCCTGGTCCACTCTAGCTAACAGCTTGCTGGTGTGGACTTTAGTGCGAGTCCGCCTGCGCACTAACTCGATGTAAGATCCCGGCTGAAGTGGGTCGGCGTATTTATCGACCTTGCGATCCAAGTACCTCAGCAACGGAATCACCTGCTCAGAGAGCGCCGCCGCCGGCGCTCCAACAATTTCCTCCTCCTCCTCCTCGGTGTCCTCTGCTCCTGACATTTCTTCGGTGGAGCCCCCGTCGTCATCATCAGAGTGGAGAATTTCAGTCGCCATTGATTGCGTCGGCGACTGCCCCGAGTGGGGCTGCACGTCGTCGACGTGTGCTGCCTGCGAAGGCACGGCTGCAGCCTCGCTGCTCTTCGCCAAAATGTCTAAGGCGGTAGGCGAATGTACCCGTGCGGCATCCCCGTCGCTCGCTTGTTGGTCGTCTACCGTGTCCTCTCTGCCGCCGACGCCCGCCGCCGAAGGCGATCGAGCGGAGGGTGGCTGCGCGGGGTTTGATTGCGCATCGCGCATCGAAATTTCATCCCGCGGACAGTCACTCCGCTCCTCCGTCTGTTGCTGCTCCCCTGATCGGTCCGTGGGGGCTGTGCTCGGCCTGTGCGCAGGCGCAAATGCCGGCGCCTTGTCCGCCGCAGGCGTAGCGCCGCGGACATCCATCGCCAAAGGCGACATGGCCGGGGGCCGCTCGCCCGATGTCCCTTGGCCTATAGGCCCTACCGCCGAAGGCGCATCTATCGGCGGACTACCCGCCGATGGTGCGGCCTCCGCACGCTCCCTGCTCGTATCTCCTCGGCTCGAAGGCCCTGGCGCCGAAGGCGCAAATTGCGGCGCGTGGTGCGCCGGAGGGTCTGGC